ACACAAGACCAATAACAAAAAAAAAAAAAAAAAAAAAAAAAAACCCACTATCCAAAAAAAGAAAGCAAAAACAAATGCCTTTGGTCTCTATGTCTTCAGCTGTTGATGGGAGAAGGAGTTTGTAGGATAGAAGAAATTACCATACTCCTTAAAGGGGTGTTGGTTATGCATAGTCTCAGGCTAAGCAGATTCCTGATCTTACATAGTTTTTGGTTCACAGTTTATTTTTGTTAATAGAAGTCTGCATGGGGCCAGCAGGTGGCATGGTGGTTAAAGGCACTAGATTCCCACATTGCTGACCACAGTTCGGGTCCCAAACCTGGTGGCTTGCTCTATTGGTTTGCCTCTCTCTCTCTCTCTTGTCAAATTAAAAAATAATGGAATCCCACAGGGCGATCTAGTCCCGGACCTAGTGGCTTTCTTTCTCACTTTCCCTTTCTCTCTCTCTCTCTCTCTGGTCAAATTAAAAAATAATAATAATAACAAATGGAAATAAATAAATATATATTTTTAAAAGACTGCGTGGGTAGATGTTCACTTTAGAATTTTAGTCTGGCAAGACTCTTACTGATTGGCTAACTTTCAGAGGCATGCCTTCAGAGTCTGCTATGCAGGCTGTCTTGATTGTTAGCTTTCAGGTGTATTCACTGAAATGAACTGTTAGTGACTAGACCGATGAATTGTCATTCATTGATGAATATAGAATTGTCAGTCTGGGGAACCAGCAGTTAGCGTAATGGCTATGTCGCGGGACTCCCACGTAGTCGACTGTGGTTCGCGTCCTGGACCCAGTGGCTTAAAACTCACGCCAGGCGTGTGTGCATGCGTGCCCAAGATCCCGAGAGGAGAATGGAGGAGAAGGGATTGTGGCGTGACCATCCCCCCTGGGGGGTGATTTCTCGCTTTCTGTCTCTATGTCTCTCTCTGTCTGGCGAGCGCACGCGCCCTATAGTGAAAACCTCTCCAAAAAAAAAAAATTGTCAGTCTGTTCTAGCAGTATGGAGACTTTAAATTCTTTTCAATAGGTGTACAAGAGGAAAACTGAAGCTGCCAAGAAAGAGTATTTGAAGGCCCTGGCTGCTTATAAAGACAACCAAGAGTGTCAGGTAAGAGGGTAGATGGGGATTTTTTTAAAAGGTTTTTGGAACTGATTGTTAGCAGTTATAAATAAATACCACCGAAAACCTATGGAATCTATGAATACTCTCAGATAGTGTTAAAACCTCAAAAAGTATGTATATGTTATTTTCCATCATATAAACCTTGCTACGGAGTCTTTCTGAGTGTTTACTTTAGCCAAGTAGTACCCACAGCTGCTGCTCTTTAAAAACAAACTGTTATGAGGGGGTGGGGGAATGGCAGGCAGCGTGGTGGTTAAAGCCTAGACTCCCACATGGCAGACCACAGTTTGAGTCCTGGACTGGGTGGCTTGCTTTCTCACTTCCCTCTTTAGCTCTGTGCCTTTCTGGTCAAATTAAACTAAGTAAATCAATAATAAAGTTAAAAAAAATAATAAAACTGATGTGGGGCCGGCTGGTGGTATGGTAGTTAAAGGCACTGGATTCCCACATGGCTGACCACAGTTCAAGTCCTAGACATGGCAGCTTGCTTTCTCTCCTTGCTTTTCTCTCTCTCTCTCTCTCTCTCTCAGGTCAAATTAAAAAATAATGATAGAAGGGACCAGCAGGGGTTGTGGTGGTTAAGGGTGCTGGACTCCCACATGGCCAACTGCGATTCCAGCCCTGGACCTGGGGAAAGTGAATATGTCCTATGGTAGACAGTAAATCTCCCAGTGACGTTTGTTTTGGTTTTCTTTTAGGCCACGGTTGAAACAGTGGAACTGGATCCAGTGCCACCATCACAGACTCCTTCTCCACCTCCTATGGCTACTGTTGACCCAGCATCTCCAGCACCAGCTTCAACAGAGCCCCCTGCCCTGTCTCCTTCCATTGTTGTTAATTCCACCCTTTCATCCTATGTGGCAAACCAGGCATCTTCTGGGGCTGGAGGTCAACCTAATATCACCAAGTTGATTATTACCAAACAGATGTTGCCCTCTTCTATTACTATGTCTCAAGGAGGAATGGTTACCGTTATCCCAGCCACAGTGGTGACCTCGAGAGGGCTTCAACTAGGTCAAACCAGTACAGCTACCATCCAACCCAGTCAACAAGCCCAGATTGTCACACGGTCAGTGTTGCAGGCGGCAGCAGCAGCTGCTGCTTCTATGCAACTACCTCCACCCCGACTACAGCCCCCTCCATTACAGCAGATGCCTCAGCCCCCAACTCAGCAGCAAGTTACCATTCTGCAGCAGCCACCTCCACTCCAGGCCATGCAACAACCTCCACCTCAGAAAGTTCGATTTAATTTACAGCAACAGCCACCTCCTCTGCAGATCAAGATTGTGCCTCAACCCACCCTGAAAATGCAGACTACCGTAGTCCCACCACCTGTTGAAAGTAGTCCTGAGCGGCCTATGAACAACAGCCCTGAGACCCATACAGTGGAAGCAACTTCTCCTGAGACAATCTGTGAAATGATCACAGATGTAGTTCCTGAGGTGAGCCTGTTTTTAAGTCTTTTCTCTAGATCAGTAGAAATGTACAAGAACATTTTTGGTTGACCCAATAAAAGTGGGGGTTGCTACTGGTATTTTATGCCTAGCAATCAGGAGTACAAAACATGCTGCAGAGGACAATTCTCCATTACATTGACTTGTCCCACTAAAGATACCCATAGTGTTTTGGTGAAAAACCCTATTAGAAAACTATGAATCTCTAAAATTTTTTTTGTAAGCAAAACTACTCTTTGAATCTCTAAATTATTTCCCTTTTTCTAACAGCACATTCTCTTAGCTCTCCCCATTTAGCTTATTTGAGGTCATTCAGCCTCTCTTCACATTGTACTTTTGATATGATACTTCCAGAGTTTATTATTCAAGTGCAGAATAAAGTCAGTGAAAGATATATTAAAATAAAGAATGCAGTCTTACCCTGATGGGGAGAATCTACATGTTAGTTTGCTTGACAAGTTCTAACACTGGGCTGTAGAGGGGAAGACCAAGAACTCATTTTCTGGAACTTTACCATATATGTGAAATTTGTAAGAACTGTTGCACCATTGGCTCTCAGGAATAATTTGATTAGCTACCTAACGAGGCAGGTAGCAGTCTAATCCATCGTTGGTGTTTTCTTCCTGTCACAGGTTGAGTCTCCTTCTCAGATGGATGTTGAATTAGTGAGTGGGTCTCCTGTGACACTTTCACCCCAGCCTCGATGTGTGAGATCTGGCTGTGAGAACCCTCCCGTTGTGAGTAAGGACTGGGACAATGAGTACTGCAGCAATGAGTGTGTGGTGAAGCACTGCAGGTAAGTTTATAATTTTCCTTATCATTTACGTATTACTAAATTAACTGGGAAAAAAATGGTAACCTCGCGCATATAGACTATCACCTAATGTATAGAGAATAGGATCTATTCTCTACCTGTATGTCAAGTTGATGAGGCCACAAGGAAATTTCCTCTGCTTAAAAGCAGCTTACAATTGCCATCTAAATATGACTTAATTAGCATTTCACACTTGGCATGTAAAATACAACATACTGGGAGCAGATTGTAGGGGTTATGTCACTGACTCCCACATGGCCAGAGGTGGTTCAAGTCCTGGGCTGGTGGCTTCAAACTCACATTGGGCCTATGGACCAGCAGTTAGCGTAATGGCTATGTCGCTGGACTCCCTGTTGTCAACTGTGGTTCGAGTCCCGGACCCGGTGGCTTAAACTCACGCCGGGCGTGTGTGCGTGTGCCCAAGGTCCCGAGAGAACAGAGAAGAAGGGATTGTGGTGTGGCCATCCCCCCTGGGGGGTGATTTCTCGCTTTCTGTCTGTCTGGCGAGCGCATGTGCCCTGTAGCGCGTGTGTGCCCAAGATCCCGAGAGAACAGAAAAGAAGGGATTGTGGTGTGGCCATCCTGGGGGGTGATTTCTTGCTTTCTGTCTGTCTGGTGAGCGCACGTGCCCTGTAGCAAAAACCTCTCAAAAAAAAAACAAAACAAAACAAAAAAAACTCACATTGGGCCTAGAGTCCAGGACCCAGTGGCTTGGTTTCTCACTTCCTCTCTCTCTTTCTTTCTTTCTGTTCCTCTCTGGTCAGATAGAAAGGAAGGGAGGAAAGGAAGGGTAGGAAAGAGAAGGGGAGAGAGGAAAGAAAGAAGGGAGGGAGGAAGGAAGGAAGGAAAAAGAATTTCTTAAGGGGACCAGCAGGTGGTATGGTGGTTAAGATGCTGGACATTCCCACATGGCCAACCACTAGTTCAAGTCCTAGACCTGGTGGCTTGCTCTCACTTTCCCTCTGTGTGTCTCTCTGTGGTCAAATTAAAATGAATGAATGAATAAATTTTTTTTTTTAATTCTTAAAAAACAAAAGCAAACAGGGAACCAGCAGTTAGCGTAATGGCCATGTTGCTGGACTCCCACGTAGTCAACCGCGGTTCGTGTCCCGGACCCGGTGACTTAAAACTCACGCCGGGC